GAGAGAGAGAGAGAGAGAGAGAGGGGGGGGGGGGCTTGTGGACAGTCCCTGGCTTTTGTGAGGCGAATGGAGAACTGTCACTCAACAGCGACCCTTCATCAACACGTCACACGGGCAGAGGTGCGCCAGGCGCTCCCCCGCGCTTAGCCATCTACCTATCCATCTATCCGTCCCTAATTCATTCACTGGACTCTGCCTTTCCCATATACACCGTTCAAATTTAGCTATCTGAAAGGTTGTGATGCACGGTAGCATGGTAAAAACAACGTCTGATTTTCTTTGAGGAAAAGGAGAAAACATTAAAGAACTCCTATAACTAGAGGAAAACTCTTAACGGACAACTGGCAAAATTGTTTCACTCATTTCGAGCACGATACCTAACTGAAAGATTTACCGGGCTCAGCTTTTGAGGGAGTTTCTCCCAAAAAAAGAGGGAACTTCCCTCATTTTTGATGCGAGATTTCCTCAATATCTGAGAGTTTATCTCAAACTTGACGAGTTCCTCAAAGTTTACCCCTTTCCCTGAAATATCGCAGACATTGTTCTTACCGTGAGTAGTGCAGTACGAAATATTTATCAACAGCCATTAGGTCAACAGCCATGAGTTCTGCACCTCGAAACCAACAGTCCCAAGTCGACCCCAAGCAGAACAGACAGCAGTTACACCTCCATAGTCTCTTCCAGTCACCTCCAGTCCCGCCGCCACTCACTCACAGCCAGCCTCCAATCACTTTCAGTCATCACCACGTTCAATCACCCAAGTCCTGTCATTCCTATTTCCAGTCCGCACACGTTTTTGATGAGTTGGGTACCCCTCCGGGAATCATGCTTAACTCCTTCTTTACATTGAATTGAATGTATATGCTTCGGTTTGACAGTGTGCTTCTAGCATCACGCCGGCGCTTCACACCTGTCGCGTTTACAGTCGCAATTTATTGCGGCGGCCCCGGCGACCGGCCACGCGCCGCGCAGGCTACGCAGGCTACGCAGGCTCCAGGCGGCTCCAGGTGGTCGCCCTGCCGGAGGGCCGGCCGGTCCTCCAGGAGGAGAGCAGCCGACCGACTCGCCGTCATTGGGGGGTTCCACCTGGCCAGGCGGACACTCGTCCAGGTGAAGTGCAATCCCGCTGACGACACAACGGCTCTCCGGCGGGCCAGGCAGCCTGCTCCCGGGGAAGACTCATACGTCCGAGACGCACAATGCCAACAGCGATGTGCCATAGTGTGCCTACTAGTTCGGAGAAGCCAGAGCAGGGGTGGGCAGCAGCGGCGGCGACAAGGCGGTGGATGCACTTCCCGTCGCCACTGCCCCCACCACCACCAAGTGCAGGTGGACCCCCCGATGCCTGGGCATGCAGTCACGAAAAGCAATCAGGGAATGACCGTACGGAAGCGCGTGTCCCCAGCCGGGGCGGCCGACGGCCGGCCGTGGCGAGGCGATTGCGTCCCTCAGGGCTAATGGTGTGGGTCGAGACCGTGGAGACGTCCCGGCCTTGTCCGACTCCACCACGGTCTTCTTCCTTTTCTTCTTCACGTCGAGATTGGAGCCGTACACAGTCCCGCAAAGGGAAGAAGCTTTCCTCACTCACAACGTAGATCTCGAAAACTAGAAAACCCAACCCATTCGTTATGCACAACTTTTTCTACCGATGCAGAAGTTTTCTTTTTGAGTCGAATAAATGTGTATTCACTGAGATTATGCATTTTCACCCCATAATGATACCTTATAAGGTGTAGGCTGGAGAAGGATTATTTTATTTATTGCTTATTTTAATGCCTTTGCAAACGCACAAAACGCTCAACACCTTTCAAAAGGCACAAAACTAACACTTTTGTTTTTATCAGTGGAGCGACCGGAATCGTTGAAAAATCATCGCGCTCCAGCGGATTGGCCCGCGTACGCGTGCAGCGTAAGCCCGGTAGTCCCTCGCACCGCCGCTGGGCGCCGCGTCTAGCTCAGCGGGGCCTCGCCGCATACCCCCACACCACACCGCGCCCCAACGCCCCAACGCTTCAAAAAGTCGATTCGCCTCGCATTCCATCGCTGCTGCGCGCTGCTGCGGCCACGAGCGGGCCCGGGGCCCGTTGTTGTACAGCCGTGTGATGAATAGCGACAGCCTTGCACCAGATTCAGAGAGTGTATCACATCGAGAAAATATTCCGACACGGAGGGATTAGAGGGGGGTGGGGCAGGAGGCCCTCCCGGCTACCGGCGTTACTCACCGGGCAGCTCCTCTGACCCTCTCCTCTCTCCTTTAGAACCTGGGCGCCAGCCCCCCTTGCCCTGCCTCCTCCCCTTTCCATTCTCCTCCCTACACCTCTCAACACACATACGAAACGAACACACACACACACACAAACACACACATGTATGTTTGTGCAGACCATGCTACACCGTAGCGCCATCGCAAGGTGGGGCTTCATTGGGCGGCAAAGGTGCCACATCACCATTCCGATGATTCTATCCCCGTTCTATCCTACCCTACGGGCGGCGGCAGCTGTAGACAACCCGATTGGTGTCTGAAATAACGTAACACACTGCAAACCAAGAGCAAGTGAAACTCAGCGTTGGCGTTACCAATTGGAAAGCCCTGTAAGCTAAGGCAAATGTGTACACCAGAAGAAAACATCCTTGAAACAGCGTTGAAGTGCTCAAAAATGCTAATAGCACCAAATAGGGCATTTCTGTCTACCACCCTTCTTTTTCCAGTGCTCTTCCTAAATAGCGCCTTGCGGTCCGAGCGAGTAGGCAACCCGCGCGAACGGTCCCATTTAAAACAGTGCGGGCACTGTAAGTTCCTTACGAACAACTGCTCTTCGTAACGTACAAATGATTTGGAGCATTTGTATTACAAACAAATTGTTTGTATTACGAAGAGCCTGGTTTGTATTACAAACGAGGCTTTTCGTATTACGAATGGGGGGTGTTCGTAATATGAACGAAAATCGTTCATAATATGGCTGCTTTAGATCCTTTGTAAGTTACAAACAAATTCTTCGTAATACGAACACCGCTGTTTGTAAGGAACTAAGAGTGGGAGATGGGAGGGGGAGTGGAGCGGGCAGCCATCTGGTACTGGAATAGGATGCATGATCGCAAAATGAAATCCGAATCTTGGGCAACACAAGCAGCCACCTACGAACATTCTCCGCATTAGTTTGCTTCCAGAGAGGAGCTACGCCGCGCCACGCTGGGGTGGCCATGTGCCAGGCCGGGCAGGCCGGGCAGGCCGGCAGCAGGCAGGCGGTCCTTCCATTCCTGTCCGTCATTGCGCTTCCAAGGACGAGTGTGCTGGGCCTCTGGCCTGGGCCTCTGGCCTGGGCCGCCGGGAGGACGCGCCTGGCCGGTGTACCCACCTCACCTCTCCCCCTCGCCCCTCCCGAATGGGAGGGGGGCACCGCTGGCCATTCATTCTTCAGTCCCATTCATGTTTCACTCGCTTTAGGCCCCTTCGGCTGGAAGCTCTCCCAGCAGCCTGCACCGATAAAGTGTGCAACTTGAGAACACATGCAAATGCTCAACACTACGTTGCACACTTTTAATTTATCCTGGTTTCCTAGGATATTGGACTGGATATTCGAATGCTTAAGAATTTTTTCAACAAGTTGAACACTTGAAAGTTTGACAATGATGTTTTAGCCACTTTTCAGAGTCTAACTTTACCGTTGAAAAACTATTGAAGTATTTATACAAGTGTTTAAACAAAAGTATTTAAATTTCCAGTCCAGAGTGCACTACAGCTTTGAACTCTACCATGTGCCTGTCAGTTGCACACTTCTGTTTTCAGTGGGTGAAACCATCCCGTCGAGCTTCCCACTGAATTTAGTCGACCCATTTTATTTATTTTCTAACCAGTACTGATCATATCGTCCCTATTTTTCTAATAATATCATTATCCTCTCCCCCCGACCCTCTCGTGTCGAACCTTTGTTCGAAACTAGTTCCGTGTTAGTAAGGAAGGACGCTCACGACGGCCTGATCACCCAGTCCGCTGCATCCTGCCGACATCACCGGCCAATCACCCACACAGAAGGGCCGCCCCGCCGCTCGATCGGGCGGCGAGATTAGATGAAAGACTCTTTCGGCCGTGCGGCTCCGGGAGAGACAGGCGCTGGCTGCAGGACGACGGCTGCCGACGCACGGCTTAGGTCGCAGGTCGCAGTGCGGACCTCCACCTGATTCTGCTGAAGACTTAAACCTAAACGACAGCGCGGGTTCTGCACAGCATGCTAACCTGCAGGTTAGAACGTAGCTTTCTAGATTCTCTCTCGTTTGCTTACCGGTGGTGCTGGGGTGCGAGGCGAGGCAGGCGGGGCCGCAGGAGGCGAGGAGGGCGGCGCGCAGCGGTCCCCACACGGCGCCCGGAGGTAGACAACCCAGCCGGCGCGCGCGTGGAGCGGGCGACCCTGGACCAGGGGCCGTCCCGGCACAGCACCACATGCGAGCAGAAAGCAGAGAGCAAGCGAGTCAGCACTGAGGCCACCGTCCCTGTGATCATCAACGAGGGAAGGGTGGGGACAAATTCGAACGGAAGACTTTCGTCTTTGTCAAAATGCCAAATTAGAACTTTCACAGCACAGTTTACTTTTTGGATTCAGAACAGACATGTCATCAGTGCACACGTCTTTGTGATTTTTGCTGTTGTTGTTGTTCCATTTGAAACAAGGAGCTGAGCTTATGATGACCACGTCGACAAAGCAGCATGGCGCAGATACGGCGCCCTGTCCGTTGCCCATCCCCTCTCCCCTCTGGCACCAGCACCAACTACCCTGAGCAAGCAGCCCTCGGGCCACCCCCGCCGCACAGCCTCCCCCGCACACTGGACCAATGGCAGGCGGCCCGCCGCGCCACAGGCCCCACCCACACGCCCAGTCGCCAGCATGGCCGGCAGGCAGCGGCAGCCATGCAAGTGCGACGCGACGTCTGCACTGTCAACCCAAAAGAATGCCTCAACGTGATTCACTGAATGAATGATGCCAGCATCTTTGGCATTTTAAGAGGCCGAAAGTTAATACATTATATTCTGGTTTCCATTTCCTGCATCCTGTAAGCCATGGCTTATCTATAAAATATAGCTTCACATTCATCTGCAGGAATGATGAGATGGTATGTATGATTGATTAGTGCAAGATACATATGGGAAACCATAAGCTGTGAGTAGATTACTTCAATCTCAATCGCCTAAAATACTGAGTCGGGCACTGTAAACCTGGGGTGCACAATTGAAAAAAAAAGTGTCGCAGGGAAGAAGCTAGTGGTCGTCTGCTGCGTTGCTGATGTTATAATAATGCACCTCTGGCCGCTCTTCCCACCAGAGGCGTCATTAGGTGCGAGAGAGAGAGAGAGAGAGAGAGAGCACCCTCACCAATAACGTGAGCCGACAGCCGACCTCCCCGCTTGCATCTATGCCGTCCGCTGTGCCTATGTATGATTGGCTCAAATGTATAAACGCACATAGGGCACAGGTAATAAACACGGTGCAGACAATACAAAATGGTTGAAGAAGCCGACACAAGAACTTAGAAACCAAAGCACAAAGAGCACTCGAAGGATGAGAGATAAGCAACGATAAGAATCCTTTTCCTCGTTTCCACAGACACAGAATGAGCAGCGTCCTCTTCAAGCTTATCCGCCCTCAGGCCAAGGAAGAGTGTCCAATACGGAACAGATTGCGTAGTCATCAGAGGATGGCTGTGAGATAACGAGTGCAGCGTTACCGAGAGAAATTTCTCACCTTTTACCGCTTTAGCAACTGTAAGGGGTGGAGAGGCAGCCACGCCATGTTTGCAACACTACACTGGGTGTTTTCTAAAGGGTTATACCCCGTGGACAGCGAGTAGTCGAGGTGGTATAATCATTCGCGTTCGAGCCGATAGAAATGTCCCGAACCAGCGCTTAAAAACACGCAATGAGCCATACGCCAGACGCCTGCAAGCCGCTAGGTAGGCCATCCCGCACAACACCGATGCATGCGGAATCGATGTAGCCTACCCTTCAGGCGACCAGCGCGTCAATACGAAGCGAAACAGGCTGGGAAAGTGAGAAAAACTCACTCCGCCATCGCCAATTCGGGAGGTCTTCCTACCCTCCTCTGCACGCACCTTTGTCAATTTTAAAGTGGGATCAAGAGCAATCTGAATATCACATGCGATGCATACTCCTTGACGACGACAGCACCTGACTGAGGCCATGACCAGAAAATATATGCCTTCAACCAAACGGAATCCCTCTAAACCACGTCGAAGTAATTTTTGCCTTAACTTTTAAAGTAGTTAAGGGGTACCTTAGGAGTAACCATAAAAGTTTGGTTCAGATACAATCAGGCAGTCTATAGGATAGTTCCTACAGCAGCTTTCCTCTTTC